TAACACAAGAATTTATACAACCTCAGAAATGTTTACTGTCTGGTATACGAAAAAGTATTTGTGGTATTTTGCTGTGATGCCTAGAATTCCTTGCTTGCTCTCTAGTTGTTTTCCGGAGGCAAACAGTGTACAACTTCGAAAGTAACAAAAGTACACATTCCTATACAGATTTCTTGGCTGCATGCTGTGTCTTGACTACCGCCCGAAGCACAGAAGTAGAAACATTTTTCTTTGCATTCTTGAAAGCTACCTATTTGGCCTATTTTATGCTGTCTGCTTTGGTTAGATTGATTAACACTCTCTTATTGACTGGAATCGTAGTTTGCGATTCCAGTCAATAAGAGAAACTTATTTAAATTGCATTTTCTGTTTGCTTTCAATATCTATAATTTCCAAATTAGGGATATTTGCATTTTCAGCCTAACCTAGGATCCGGCAAATATTTTTGAAATTTACGTTTTTAAATGAAAATAAACAAAACAAAATTAAATTAGAAAGCTAATATAATGGTAAATTTAAATTGTAGTAAAATGAACACTGAACGTAGTGCTATTTATTCCTGAAAAACATATGTAATTAAAACAATATCATGCCTTAAATATTCCAGCAGAATATTATTCATGAGATTAAGAGCCTAAAAATTGACTTTGACAGGTTCTTAGAAACCAGAAATTTCTTCAAAAATTATTCATTCCGTTTCCTGAAATCGAAGATGGACTTTCAGCTACAAGATCTACCAAATTATCAGGTTCCATTACGCGACCAGAATGATAAATTCTTAATGGCTCTCTCACACTGACATGCGACTTCAACTAGCAACATCAATAGATTCGACACTGTGTAGAACCAACGCTACACACGATCGACAATGCAGGGAAAAAAAAAAAAAAAAAAAAAAAAAAAAAAAAAAAAAAACATTGTGTCGCAAGTACTCTGTTAACATCTTCACAAGATCAACATCTGCATATCATTACAGCGATAAAAGGGGTATTTCCATAGGATGTCCGCCGATAATAGGTGGTCCATAGGGTGTCGCGGCAAAAACATCGCGGACGAAAACGTGGCAGAGGAAACAACGTAAGGCGAAAACGTCGTGCTACAAAACGTCGTGGGAGAAAACACCGCAAAGAGAAAACATCGCAGTTCTAAAACATCGTGGTACAAAACATCGTCGTCGAAAATAAAGCGGTTCGAAAACTTCGCAGTTTAAAAACATCGTCGGCGAAAATATCGTGGTAAAAAATAAAGTATCTACAAATCATTGCGTGACGATAACATCGCAGAATGCTTTTTTCAGAATTTAATAACTGTAAATAGGTATTTCCATAATAATTTGTGAGCGCAAGATAGAAAGAAGGATAATTTGTTTTTCATATTTTATATTTACTAATAAATTTTTGCTGAGAAAATAAGAAGGAAACTTAAGCATAGAAAATTAATGCAACTTATAGCACTTAATAGAATTTTAAACCGACATAGTTAACTAACAAAGACCATTAATAAATCATTTTCATAAAGTTTTTACTAGTAATTTTTCATAAAAAGTATAATCTATAAGTTGCATTTAATTTTCGATGCTTAAGTTTCCTTCTTACGTTTTCAGCAAAAATTTATTAGTTAATAAAAATATGTGAAAGTAAAAATTATCCTTCTTTACATCTTGCGCTCACAAATTATTATGGAAATATCTATTTACAGTTATTAAAGCCTGAAAAAAGCATGTCTGCGATGTTATCGTCATGCGATGATTTGTAGATACTTTATTTTTTACCATGATATTTTCGACGACGATGTTTTCAAACTGCGAAGTTTTTGAACCGCTTTATTTTCGACGACGAAGTTTTGTACCACGATGTTTTAGAACTGCGATGTTTTCTACCGCGATGTTTTGTAGCACAACGTTTTCGCCTTGCGTTGTTTTCTCTGCGACGTTTTGGTCCGCGATGGTTTTGCCGCGGTGTTTTCGGCTGTAACCTTTCCATAGTGATAAGAAGTATTACACATTCGTCATCTGCACAGAGTTGTCAATGACATGCCTTCAACATAACATATTGTCGAAAAATAAGTATCAATTACAAAAATTACCCGGCCACACCGGGATAACAGGAAACCAGCAAGCAGTCGAGCTAGCCAAGCTGGCAACATCATTATCCACCATCATCATACAGGTTCTAACCTCGGAAGACGTAACCCAAAAAGGTTATAAGAGACACTATCTTACACACTTGGCAGAAAAAGTAGAGTGAAGGTGACATGCAGCGTTTCCGATCGACATATTTCCGAAGGTTAGTGTCGAAATGATCAAGTCCAATTACATCTTGTAAAAAGCTTACACCAGTTATGTCAAATTTCCGGCTTACTTCGTTTGGTTGCTCAAAAGAAATATTACTTTCGCCTCTGGAGCAAGGGGAAGTGAAGCCGATGCCTTACAATACATTGTGGACTGCCCACTCACATCAACTTCATCACTTAGGTTCAAACATATTCCGAATGCCAAGAACATATATTCCATCATCCGCTCAATATATATTTTACCGAGTTGTTCTGCTTAGAAGGCATAAAACCGCCATGGCACACATCAATAATGTCCAATTCAACGAGTCAGTAGAAGAAGATTTATGTAACAGGAGACAAGTCTGGGAAACATTGCGTAGGCTACGTCCTACGAAGCTTGTATACATTGTATATAGTGTTTGCTAAGATAGAATAAGATGATTACTAAAAACACTATGTTAATCAGAATTTGTGTAGATTTCGATCAAAGAGACAAATGGTCACAAACACACACACACACAAACAAAAACAAAAAAGAACGAAAAATAGAGAAAACATAAAGAGGCAGTTTAATTGTTGAAAAAGGAATACTAGAGCAACGGCCGGATGATATCTGAAACCGGTAGTGCCTAAATCACTTGAATCAACACTAAGCAGCCTTAAAACACATAGACTAGACATCAGCGTACTATTGACACTAGGATAAAGCGGGCAATTCTAATATAATTAGTAACAGTGCATAAACAGGAGGAAAAGAATTTAATTAAATTATTATTAGGGTAGCTGTGTAAGACCGTCATTGGTGCAGGATCAAACCTGATTTTTAACCTGTCTTGTCAATAGTGTACGAGAACAGAAGCTAATGCAGTGTCGACCTAATGCAGTGTCGATCACTTGAGATATTCCAAATTGTCCAAACGAGCTTTGGTGACGAGCTTCTCTAATCTTTAATCACCTGCGAAAAGAATGAAATTTGAAAATGGAGGATTATTGAAAAAATAGTAACACACATTCTGGACACCGAATTCTTTACCTATGAAATTTGGAAACATACTACAACCTTTAATCAATATAATACTACAACCTTTAATCAATATAGGCATATGTAACGTGTTCAAGTTAGTACTATTTAAAATTATTTCTATTGATAATGTATGTTTCTCCAGCTTTCAATTTCTTTTTTAAATAATATTTTCAAATAAATTTCAATGCATGAGGAAGATGAAAGAGAATTTTTAAGATTGCAGCTGGAAGAAACGTTCAGGAAACCGAAAGAATTTCTTTTAGTGTAGATAAGGAGAAGATATTGTTTACACAAAACTAATGCATTAAATTAAATAAAACATTTTAAGAAAATCAGTACGCAAGGATGCATGAGATTATATTGGTATTAACACAGAAGTACAATTTTAAATAATATTAAGTATTATTTTTAAAACCTAATGATGCTTGGAAAAGTTGCTAATTATGGATTTTGCTCGTAAAGCTAAAAGTAAATGAAACCGTAGTAAATTCTTCTATATTGTAATCTTGAAAGATCCATCTTTAACATATTTTGTACTTCCTAACTTCACTAGACAAAATCAATAAGTATAGGTTTTGATTATACAGTCAGTAGGTGTTATTTAAAACTATTTGCATTACATATTCTTATATCTTTTAACTTCCAAATTAAAACAAAAATACATTTTTCAACTAAACAGAAGTTTATATTAAAGATGAGAAGCAAGTTCACAGCTAAATAAAAATAAATGAAGAGTTTAAAATGATAATTTTTATATTTAGAGACAAAAACAAAATACTATTCACACAAAAACAAATTAATTTAATTAAAATCAAAACCTAAAAATTTATATATATATATATATATATATATATATTTAGTGGTTTTTAAAGCACTTAAATAAGACTTATAATAAAGCTTCGGAATTACTCTTTTTAGTTAATGAAAGTGTAATATGTAGGGTTATTGTTTGGTTCAGCAGTTGTTATAATTTAGACCCTTGTTATAACACCGCGAAGATGACATCCGTCCTAGTTCGTGCCGTTCGGAATTGAACGTCAGTTACATTGGCATACAAGGCTTGTTATTCAGTACATACTATTTTCTCTTATTACAAGATATTTTGAATAGCACAGTATTACATATGAACACTCTTATAACATAATACTATATATAAGTGAAATTATATTGTATGTATACACATATATGCATTTGGCCGTGGATTAAATGAGTACTATATTTGGTGCATAAATAAGTCAAATGTGCAACATTTAAGTGATGACAATCAATGTGGAAGAAAGATTTTTACACTACAGAAATATATAAATGACATTATGCAACGTTGTTATTGGTATTTCATGTGTTAAATTGGCATATGTACTATATTGGAATGAACATTTATATTACGAAAATTAGATAACTGTATGAACAATATATTATACTGGATGAGCACAAATATTTGTATATGTCAAGAAGTTGATACTATGAAACAAAGATTTTTATAACAAAAGAGTTAAATAACTATATATCAAAAAAGATAAATAAAATATATACATAAAAAGAAAATTAAATACTTATATTACAGGAGCTGAAACAGTAACTTAGCTATTTGGGGAATGACTCCGATGAGAGCTGTTCCAGGTTACTGCGTTTTTGCAGCGCAGTAGGTAGTGATAGCATGTAGTTTCGATAGAGCAACATTGTTATTTTGAATATTATTCCACTACGTTGCGCGAAACATGGGTGCTGGCTCTTTTAGATGGAACATCACCATCAAGCGGCATTCAAAGTAATAGTGGTCTGTACTGCCCACTTTCGTACAGTCGCAGATGTCTGTGTTGGATAGACCAAACCTATGCAGATAGGCTTTGTGCGGTCCATGTCCTGTTAGGCAATGTGACATGCTGCCAGTTTTGCTCTGCAGATCCATGCTTACTCTTGGGAGCATTGCATGTGTAAGTTGACCCGTTGTATCATCATTCCAGTGGGTTTGCCATTGCCTTATAAAAAGTTTGCATGTGGAATGTTTTAGAAGCGATGTTGGAGATGTTGTTGGGCAATCAAGTAAGGATGAACTATTGGCAGCTTCTTTAGCCACAACGTCTGCGCTTTCATTACCTAGTATTCCTACGTGCGCTAGTACCCAACAGATTACAGGGCGAAAAGGTATAAGGATACTAAGGAGAGTTTTCTGTATTTTGTTACTCAGACGGCTCCTGCTGTGCATGCTTGAAAGTGCTTGAAGGCTTGAGGTGGAGTCCGTATAAATATGAACTTGATTAAGACCATTCCTACGACTGTGGCTGATTTCTGCGTGTAAGGCTATGAGTTCTGCCTGAAACATTGAATTACTTTCGTACAGTCTTCGTTTCCAGGAGACGATAAGGCTGCCTTTATCCAATTCCTAGAATCCACATCCTATGCCAACCTATGTCTTAGATACATCAGTGTATAATGCATGATCATTTTGCGCCGGAGAATCTGAGTTTATATGGATAGTGTCCATTAGGTCAAATGGTGCTGGGTGACAAAGGTAACGAGATTTATATTTTTTAATAGTCTGTGTGGATTATGCTCTGTCCCCACAGTGATGTATTTTTATCAAGCCTTGTAGTTTTCATCCCTGCGGCTTCCCTCTCGACTACAAGATCAAGAGGGGAAGGAACTGCAATGACTTGTAGAGCAGATGTTGGAGAAGTCCGATAGGCCGCACAGATGAGAAGAAGTTGACTCCTTTGTATGGAAAGCAAAGTTTTCCTCATGGTAGAAATGAGGTTCTGGCCCCAGATGGACATTCCGTACAAAATAATGCGTTCTGAAATGGTTTTGTACCAAGACTTTAGGAGATTTGCCGGTATGCCCCATTTCATACCTGCAGTACGTTTCATAGTGTTAGTGAAATTGTCAATGTGTTGCCTGAGAATTTTAAGATGAGGAGTCGATGGAAGTTTATTATCTCCTAAGGAGATGAAGACGTCCTATTTTCATGGCTTGTGTTTTTTCTGCACTTATTCCAAGTTTTTGCTCCTTGGCCCATTGAGCAAAGATATATAGACATCCTGCGATCTTTGTTGGATGTCGCTGCGGCCCGCTACAATAATGAGGAAATCATTGTTGTAGAGGTTACACTTTTGAGGTTAGTGAGGTCTTTTGAGGTTACACTGTCAATGTTACACTTTTGAGGCGTATAACAGCGTTTTATATTTGACACAAACAACAGTGCTTAGACAATAGAGTTATAAAATGTTTTAAAAGCTGCAAATAAATACATCACGTTACATTTTTTTGAGCATACTGATGACGTAAATAATAACATTACATGATGTAACCTAAAATAAACAGTAAAAAGCAGAAACTGATTGATGAATGGAGCAATATGTAATGCACTGCTGCAATTTTCTCAGTTTTATATTATACGAAACTCTTCGGTTTGAATTTACTTGAGTTCTGGAACAGAAGTTAAATAGCATCGAAAACACTGTTATTAACCTCTTTTTGAAGCAATCAAATATGACATTTAATTGAAAGTGACAGCTTTAGTTTTGAAAAGACTTAACATTGTCGATGATTGCTAATTTATCCCTTTTTTGCATCAAATTCTTAGACACTATGTCAGGACTACGTGTTCTGTACACACTTTTGGCAAACAAAATGGCGACAGTATCCAGGTCCTGATCTCGAACAGTGAGCTGAATGCAGCTATGTTCTTGTGAGTGCTAGAAGAACTGCAACGTCAGAAGGGTGTAAAAGACCCTTTTATTTAAATCACTATTTACACCAAATCCCAGCTCGGGAGTGATAATAGAAAAAATAATGACCGCGCTTGGGTCTAAACTGAACAATCAAACAATTTAAAAGTAAAGCTTAAGTAGACATTTCAATAGTCGCTGTTGGCGAGATTGGCCTATCTATGATGCGTAGCGTAGCGTGTGTGTGTGTGTGTGATTATGGCAAAGCGTCGAGGGCTATCTGCCTAAGGGGAGGGATGCCTTCGTGGAGGACTTTCTAAGGGAAACTGGCTCGTATACACGTTACACATGGGAAACCACGAAACCCCATGCAGCGCCGTGCGGGATTCGAACCTCGGACCGAACTACCAGTGTTCAGCGACTTAACCGCTCGGCCGCTGGTAGGCCCTATGATGCGTAGCAAGCCTTAGCTAAGTACTAATGCACTTAAATCACTTCAATCAGTATTAGAGGAATAGCACTAAGGCGTAAGAATTTAAATACTAACTATTCTGGCGAACGTCCACCGATCCGAAGTGGTCTGAAATTAAAAGCTCTCTCACTCTTGAGAAGTTCCTCACTAACTTTTAAATACAAAACTTGGCTCCAACACAAATTAGCATAAAGCTGAACCGCGCGCTCATTCTGAAGGGAAGTTGAAATAAGAGTTTACAGGAAAGGGTTAACTTATAATAAAAAGAAATTTGTTTAGTTTAACTTAAAACCTTACATACTTCCTGCCAGAATTGGCAAAAGTTGAAGTATACTGGTCCAAACGGACCCGATTGAAACTTCGCGATTCTAAAAAAAAAAAAAAAAACTTAAACCTAAGTTCTTCTACCCTAGGCCAATCTTTTACAGAAAACAGAATTTCCTACGATGAACTGGACCTTACATACATCTTCATCTGTTTTGAGTTTATCTCTTTCGCTCACTCCTTCCAGCAACATCTGGAAGGAAAAATACTTTAGTAAAACATAATAACAATAAGTGCTAAGTAACGAAGTCTTGTTTTCCTGCCCTGTAAATTCACACACATAATCATTCAAGCAAAAATTAATTTTTTTTTTTCCAAAACATCGCATTCTACTGGGACAATAGACTAAATTGTGTTTTACTTCTACAGACTTTTAAATTAAAAAAATTTACAAGTCTTTCGACAAACATTATAAAACATTTAGCTAACATATTCACAGCAATTCATTGCTTTTACAAAACTAATATCTTCGCAATACTTCACAGTCTTAGAAATATTAAATAATTTTAAAATCTTTGCAAAAAAATATAATTTAAACCAAAACAACTTTCAAGATAAGAAATCGTTTATCGCGCACTTGGCGTAAAAGTCAAACACGCTTGAGGTAAAAAGAGATTCTGCAACTTGCAGTAACACTTGGAAATTAACTAAACGTTAGCATGAGAAATGCTACTTATCTCTTGTTGTAGTTGTCCACTCTTTTCTTTACCCAGTCGTTGAAAGTTGCGAAGAATTCCGCTTGATTCAGCTTCCTCCTTGACTTGGGGCAGCCACCATTGGTCTCCATCTCACGCTTCCGTTTAACACAGCTAGGCTCCAGTCTGGGACATTTGCTGCCGCCTCTCGGCTGCTCTGCTGGGCGTTTAGTCGATGACCTCCCTGGACCCCTCAGTGGATTTCTCCTTTGCTCTTGGAACCTTGTTCGTCGTTGCTCCTTCCTCCTGCTGTATTCAGGAACTGGATTATCAATCTGCCACCAGGGCTACTTGGTTTTCAGGCTCTTTTCAGACATTTCCGCTACCCTCTTTACTACCTTGGCTTGGTCTTGTCCATTCTTCGTCTTTTATTTTTGCTCGAAGTCCTATTCCCTTAGCTCTTCCTCTTTATTCCTTGGTCCACGGCGACTTTCGCCCTCTTATTTCTTCTACTTTGTTGACAAGGAGCTTTTTGTTTCTGACCCCTCGTTGCAATTGTTTCCGGTTCTGGTTGTTGCCGTTGAGGTAAGACCTCCGTGGAAGTCGGTCTCCGTGGATCCAAAGCCTGCAGTTTTTCTTTCTCTTCTGACGGCAAATGCTGCAGATCAAGCTCCGGGGGCTCATCGTCCTTCTTGTTAACTGGTTGCATCGTGAGTGTTAGCTTGGCTCCCTCAAAGTCGATTGTGGCTTCTTCTAATCTAAAAAAGTCCACACCAAGGATAACACATGTTTGCAGGTTTCGCATAAATTTTTAACGACTACGGTGTTTAAATTAATCGCCGAAGGATTTTCCAGGACTTCGGATTTCTCCACCTTCCTTAAAGAAATCCCCCTTAGTTTAACTCTTTCGCATCGAAGTCGCCCCAAACGCCCAAACATTCAGACATCGGCTGGACGCCCGGAACGCCTGAATAATTTCCTATCCAGTGCTTTTCCCCATCACGTTACTGCCTTACTCATTGCTTTCAGGTGTTGTGAAATCACATGTCAATCATTCTTTTGAAGCTACTAAAAGTAGCTTCCTTGTTTCCTTTGTTCCTTCCTTTCCTTTGTTTACTGTCAGTGTTTAGCTTTTGATGCCCGAAGTTGCAATCCCGTCCCAAGGGGGAACTTCACACAGTGTCAAAGCATCGAAGAAAGAAGTTCTCGCTTTACTAAAGTAAGGCTATTGTTAGCGCTGTAGTATTCAACTTGTCATGGGGGGAAGGAAAAGCATTCCAGGAGAAATGCTTAGATACGGGCGTTTTCGATGTCTGGGGAATTGAGATTTTGCCCTCTCTCGATGCGAAAGAGTTAAATCTTGCTTAGCCGAATCCTTCTTAATTTGCCCAGTTTCGGAGTTTTTCCCTGCTTTACGATGAAAATTTCGCCGTTCGCTGGTCGTCTTGGGGGATCCATCTTTCTTCTGCCATTGCTTCGCCTTGTTCCCGTAGTTCTGTTGTTGCTTCTGCTGCGGTTTTGGCGTATTCCACTAACTTCTTCGCTCAAATTGGCGACACCTTTCGTTGTCTGCAGGTTTCGACTTTCCAACTGCACGGCGATTTCGAATAATTTATTCAAAGTCGTTGGGTTTCTGAGCTCGATGAAATCTTGAACTTGGGGCAGTAGTCTAGGGATTATCACTTGAATGATTTCAGGATCCGGGCGACTTCCATACAAATGCTTGAAAACTTGAATCTTTCTTAAAATAAAATTTGACAAATCTTCGATTTTTTCTTGATATCTGCAAAAAATCTCCACTTCTAGTGTGGCTCGATTTCGTACGACCGGGAATGCTCTCACCAAAGAACTTTTAAAATGTTCATACGTATACGTGGAGCTTCCTGGTTCACCCAAAAGATTCTTTCCAATATATTTAAACCAGTTTAGCACTTGACCCTTCAAATCGCTGGTGGCAAGCGTGACTTTCTGAAACTCGTGGACTGGATATAATATGAAATGTGCATCCATTTTTTCCAGGAAATTAATTACGGCTGTCCTGCCGTCGAAACTTGGCGCTGGTTTCATGCATGCCCACATAGTTTGCACAATGTAGCCAAATCCTTCTAGGGCAGGAGGTGGTAATTCCGGGTTCTGTACAGGTACTGCTGGTACCTCAGGTTCATATTCTTGCCTTTCAGGCCATCCTCTTATTTTTTGTTCGGGCGCCAGTGTCAGGACTACG